TTTTTTTTGCATTGCTAGAATTAGAACATGATTCATTTAAAATGCAATGATTAAAATAATGTGGTGATGTGAAAGAACAGTAATGATTTACTTTCTTTGTGATGCGTTTGTTTAGTCTCATTCTTATGGAAGAGATTTATGTAGAATTAACATTTATCACATGCGTGTGTGTCAATGTTGCTTTCTAAACATGATAAGACTGTCAGGTGTTGGATATTTTTGATGCATTACAAATTGGATGAAATTTCTTTTCAAAGTGTACTATCTGCTAAAAGGTCTCTTCAAAGTTTAATTAATAAAAATGTGAATGGAGACATTAGCTTGCACGTGGGACTAAAGTACACTTTGCTTGGGAAATTTGCTATATACTTTGTGTTAAGGGTTAAAGTGTTTTGTTTCAAACAATGTAACTGTAAGACGTTAAGCTGGGAAAAGTTAAGAAATTAGGAATGTCTGTACATATCTTTATTTGGTAAATTATTTTACCCTTGATACTCTGTAAATCTCAAGGATTTCTGCTATATTTCATGCAGTTCATCCAATGGAACTATGCATTCTCTTTTCTTCCACCAGAAATTTTAAATAATGATCATTATTCAATATGATGGTGACAATTAGGGGCACGTGATATTAAGTGTCCACACTGCTGCAAGTCTACAAAAGAAGCAACTTAGCTACTTCTTCCAGGGAAACAGCTAAACCTACGGGCCACCTGAAGCCAGAATTGCAAAGATCCTATGCCACTTGCCAGAGGAACCCACGGAAAGTTAATTTTCTTTAAGGACCACATCGTGTGTATGTCATATATAGGTGCTTGGTATTTCTCGAACTTTCTATCCAACTTTCAAAGAGTAGACCTGTCTTTTCCCATGCAGCTGGCTTTTCATTTTTGTTCTCTGAAGAGACCCATAATATTCGGGGGTAGGGGGAGGGAAATACCAAGAATAATAAATCCGAATCTCTGTATAAAATACACCTCCGTGAGGCACTCAAGCTGGAAATCACAGGAACCAATAAAAACGCAGGCAGCCTACTGATAACGAGGTCAGAAATACAAATAAATTTACTTTTAATGAAGACGGGAGGCACAGTCATCAAAGTGTTAAAATTCATTTCATGCATATCTCATTTGCTTCTTAGCTGATATTTACCGCGCAACGCTGTGAGAAAGTAGAGGCCTAAGATGCTCCAGATAAATGGCTCAATTAATTGTACAGAGGTAGACCTCTTTGAGCTGAGCCCGAGCTGTGAGCTCTTTATTAAAAGCACTATTCTGTAGCCTATAACCTTGTGTCTTGACTCTTCTCTGGTTTCCAATTTAAACAAGTCCCCATGCGGCCTGCTCTAAAGGGCTTTGTCTCCCTGTCATTGTTAAGAGAGCTGAGGCATCCTGGAAGTGTGAAATCAGACCTGATGAGTCGAACGGTTCCCCAGGGAACGCTGGACTGCGGCAGAAGGTCAAAGTCATGGGCCGAACCATCTAAAAGTGTCTGATCGCCGGCCTGTGACACAGCAAGTTGGGGGTGGGGGGCTGGGGGAAGAGGACTGAAATTGAACACATCTTAATTAAAGCCCACAGACAGCAAAACAAAATGTTTTCTAGGCAGCCTGTCAAATGGGGCTTAAATTTAGCTCTGCTAATGAATCCGAGCTGCTAACTGTTATTTCTTAAGATAATAAGACTCTCACGGAAGCTGATAAAAAAAAAAAAAAACTGTAGCATGTCTTTTTCTGCTGTTTGTTACTTAAATATTTTCCAACAATGAAGACAGTTTTCCAAAAGAAAAAACACGGGGGAAACCTATGCAAATAAAGGGGTAGTAAACACCTCTCCTAATAACTGAACTGGTAGCTTCCTGGGCTACAGAGCAGGTGAGACCCAAGTCTTTATGCATGGGCTTGTGTTAGAAAAAGATATGTTCATTTAATGGGACGATTTAGGTGACAGGGGCTGTTAATTGTAAAGTGTCTCTCTCTCTCTCTCTCTCTCTCTCTCTCTCGCTCTCTCTCTCTCTTGCTCTCCCTCTCCTATTATTTCCTGAAAGCGATGGCGCATTAATTGAAGAGATCAATTCACCTGGGGTGGAGAAGTTTGATATTAGTGTACCTTCCAGTGCAGTGAAAAGGTAGGGCTCTTTTGAAAGGTTTCACAATTCTCCCATATCGCTGTTGCTGAAACCGCCCGGCTGGTCTCCCTGGGGAGGCTCCAAGCCGGGCGACGACAAACACAAGGAAAACGAAGGGGAGGGGTTGCAGAGAAAGAAGTCTTTTCTCTTTCTCATTGAGAACTTGAAAGCACCACTAGGCCAAGTCTAAACACTCCACTAAGAAAGCCTCCCTCGGCAGGCAAGAGAGGACTTGCAATGTTCTGTTGAAAGCTGAAATTAGGCTCTGCTAAAGGACCAAAAAAAAAAAAAACACCCTGATAATGAGAAGCTGGAAAAGCCAGAATACAGCATGATCTGCCTCCCACCACCACCCCTGCCACTGGCCTGTCTCCCTGTCCAGAGTGCCCAGTCGTAAGGACTCTTGATGAGCGGTCAAGGGACTCTGCCCTCAGGGAACGCAGCGCCAGCCTCTAGGCTTGGCTCTGACCGTGCAAGAGGGACATTAACCTTTGCACGGTTGGAGGAGAGGTAAGCAAAGCGAGTTGTAGCGAGCGCTATTGCGCCGTCACTCCAACTTTCTCATTCCCGAAGGATTGAGCAGATCGAGGTTTCAAAACGCCAGCACCACTTTCTCAGGCTGAAATTTCAATCCCCTCTTGTGCCTTGCTCAATGCGTGTGTATGTGTGGGATTTGCCAATGGAGGCCTTAACCACCAGAGTTAATCTCTTTTTAAAATCTGTATTAACCTTAATGATTTGAAGTGCACTGTCCAACACTGGGCTATTGAGATGGCAGAAAAAAACTACCCTCGACCATCAACAGTTTATTAGGGACTTAACTGAAGTGACCACTGTGGCTGTGTTTAGCTGAACAAGCCTATAGGCTTTTTGTGGCAAGGGAAAGAATTGAGGGTTTCATTAAAAAGTAATTTGTGCTTTATACTCCCTCATTCAAAGAGACTCTCAATTGCTCTGTATTCACCCAGTATCACAATGTTTCTCAATGACTGTGCTGTAACAAAAGAAAAATTTTACATTTTGAAAGGGAAAAAGTCTTTGTCACTGCAGTAAGATTGATGGTGATTTCAAAGATTACAGAATCTTGCTCTCCTGCTCTCATATTTAATGATGGAACTTCATACTTTAAACATTTTTGCTTCGACGATATAAGTTTAACTTTGTATTCAGATCATTACAATATTTTTCAAGTATGGCCAAGTTCTGGAAGTTTCTCTTGTTAGAAAAGCATTCTGAAGCCAAGGATCTAATAATACTAGCCTCATTCGCACCAGATCAAAAAGTACACTTGATTTAATATGGAGAGCTACTGTGATTTCCAGCACCCCTCCTCCATCCACAACGCTTTTAAATGCTTTTAAATACCAGTTTGTGCATTTGAGGACCACACCATTCGCTCAGTTCCCTCTTTTCCAACTATTATTGCCAAAAATTGTGTCGAGCTGGCCTGTGGTCCATTAAGATGTCCATCATATCTTTAAAGTTCTTCTTTGAACAAGTTAAGAGATAAAGTACACAAAGATCCTATTTATGTCCCAAATTTAATGACACCAGAGAGTATCAGAATATAGACACAAATATATAACACACGTATATGTCTATACATAGTGCATCCTTTCCACAAGTGTTGATTCTTTTAAACACCGATGGTATATTCAGACCTCTCTGACTCGTGTGCATGAAATTCCCACTTTCTGGCTCCACACAAACATCATGAAGACCACAAAGGTTCCACGAGGGAAGAAGGTCACCGCCTGAATTATCCTCTTGGCTCTGAACACTTCAACACCTCTCTCGTTCAATTTAGAGCACATTAGATTATAAGGTCAGCACGGAATGGAGAATCATTAGATTTATATCCCTAAAACTGCAGGAAAGAAATGGAGACTCTGTTACTTAGTAGTCCCCAAATTAATGTTCATTCCGCCAAATCAAAAGTCTGTCTCATTGAATCCTTGGGGGAAAGGCGATTGTTATTCACATCAATTTACACAGAAGCATTAGGAAAGAGATATCTCTATTTTTTTCCAGCTTTGAAAGAAGATGTACTTTAACTTCCATAGAGGCATATAGGCCATCTGGGTTAATGGAGTTTGCATATTCATGAAGTTTTAAAATCAATGACAGCTCCTCTCCCAGAGAAGACAAACTTATACGAATGCACTCAACTTGTACAATGGGCAGGTACACAAACTTCAGAAGTAAATGCTACTTGAGTTTTCTATAAGAAATTACTGTGCTCAGATTAATTTACTTATTACCAGACTGGATCTAGAATCCATAAGACAAGGAAATGACTAAATGTATCATTCACTTAATGAACATTCACATAAACTAATTGTTTAGTACAAAGAGTGAAGCCAGCACACCTGTATGTGCAGAGAGTACTAATCTCCCCTCCCCCTTAATTTCTCTAGGGATGCCTATTCGGAAGGAATATTTGACAGTTACTATCTTCTTGGTTGGTTACTTGATAATTATCTCTTTAAAGAAACTGTAAACACACATCATTTAAATTTTATCACACAAGAGTCACAACTGCTGCTCCTAGGAGGGACATTGAGACTGTCAGAGCGGGGGTGACTCAGCATGGCTCCAGGACCGCCAGCATGGCAATACTTGGAACACACATTCCTACTCCACTGATGAAGCTCAGGAGCAAGCAACCGCCCCTTTACCTTGCTTGCTGCTGCCTTTTTCTTTTCAATACACAACCCTGCCTTGAAAGAGCAAAGGGAGTATAAAAAAATCAGGGGATCCGCGAATCTTTCGAAGATCAACCCTGAATCTCTACATGATTGTCGTTGTTGACTGTTGCATGGAGGAGCCTGTGCCCTTGCTTGACCTACGCAGCAGAAGTGTAGCGTTTCCTACCTGTGACGTCAGCGGCCATCAATCCTTCTGCTCGGATGACCTTCACCTGGAGAAATCCCACATCTTTCAGGTTGTGAAAGATCCGCAAGGGGCCCTGAAAGACCCCAACAGTGGTGTTAGAGGAGAAGGGTCCCAATGGGTCTCAGCGTGCTGAGAAAACACGACGTTTCACGGTTTATCTCAGGATGCTGCTTCAGGGGTTCACAGGAACATGCGTATTTCTCTAACACAAATTACCCCTCCGCCATCATGGATGCCAGCACACGTGTACGCATGCGCGCGCGCGCGCGCGCGCACACACACACACACACACACTCGCACGCGCATTTATGTAGGTAATTGTTTCTACAGATTTTCTAAAAGAATAAAAAAACCCTACATTTACTCGCCATGAATAATCATCAAGAGATGGTGAACAGTAAATTATAGATTAGATATGTCTGCCTTCTTCCTTCAACCCTCTCTACCAAAGCACTCCAAGATACCTTTCATCTGTTAGAGACTAATGCTTCGTTATTGCCTCTAACTTGTTGGTTATGTAACAATCTTCAGACTTGGGGGAATACGAAAGTCAACATTAAACTAAGTATTTTTCCCTTGTGTTTTCTTATTGGTGAGTTTTGGAAATTAGTTGTGCTAGACAAAGGGTACATTATTGACTGATTACTTCCTAATATTTGATTCAAAAGACTGAAATAACTCTATAAACCTTTTAAGGAAAAGGCTTATAGAATCTTTAAAAATAAATCAAAATGATGACTAAAAAGAAATTCAAAGCAGTGAGTAAATTTTCTGAAATTTTACAGATTTATTGCTAGGTTGGTAGAGAAATACAGGTATGGAAACTTTGATAGGAAAACCAGATCCAAATGAAAAAAACTTATTTGCTGACATATATTAACCATGTTTTAATAAATGTAATACTTGAAGGTATTAAAAGAGGGAAACCGATGCAATGATTCAAAAGTTTGAGGGGCACAAATATTTTGAATGTAAAACACTGATATGCATTTGTTATTTTACACTTCAGTGCATTTTTCTTACGGCAAGCTCAGCACTATACTAAGTAAATAAAGGTATTTCTTTATTATCATCTTTAAAATGTTTCATGATGAAGGAGCCTAGCATAGCATTACATAATACAGTTATGCAGTAAAATGTTACTAGAGTAAAAAGCTTTGCATCTTTGTGTTAATGTGAGCATACTGACAGGTCAAAGCTTCCTGCGATCTGAACTTCACCAGTCCCACATAACCGCTCTGTGTTTACGCTGAAGCTATGACCTTGGTACAGGCAGAACAGGAAATGCAGATATGTGTGTAATCTCATAGTGGAACTTCCTGAAAATAAGGTTTAGCACGAGGATTAACTCTTAATCTTTTATTGTCTTTAAACAGTTGTTTATCACCAGCAATCTGTTTAAAATAGCCAGATGACAGGGTTCCGTGGAAATGCACGCCTCTGTCCAATTCACTTCCTGTAAATGAAGGGTTTACCGGCTGGGCTGAACACAGCAGGCTGATAATTCAGAGGTCTGCAGGCATGTTGTGTTCCTACAGTAATGAGCCAGTTGGAGAAGCGTCTTATCTCAGAGCTCACCCGATGTCATAAGCCAGATAAGTCCCCGACCCTCATGATAGGGAATCCGTTCCGCACGAGAGTCCTGTACTTTAATTTTCGGGAGAGATTTAAACCAAGTTTCATTGTGACTCCAACAAATATCCTCAGTTCTCACGTCTGTGAGCCATTTCATACCGGCAACCTCAGCGCAACCTTGCACTGTCTCCCGTTGCCTTAGCTGGGAGCCCCTGCTTTCCATGTGGAGGGGTAATTACTGTTGTATCATTTCATTTCCCGGGTCAGCTGACACTCAGTAATTTATTGCAAATTTCAACTGTTGAGGCCAGTGACACAGAGATTATAATAAGAACTCCAAACAAACAAACAAAAAAGCAAAGATATATATATGTGTGTGTGTATATATATATATATTAAAAAGATAACTTTATGTAATGGTTCATCAAGAAGTATTTCTGCCTTGTTATTTATGGTTATTTTAGAAGGTCTCAAAACCTGGATGGCTTCTGAGGCCAGAAATCTCCATAGCAGAGGAATCTATGATTTGCTGTGAATCCTTTCAGCCCTCAATAGATGGGAAAAGATTGAAATGCTCTGGAGAGGAGTCCTCTTTATTTTTTTAATGAAAGGCTGTATAATATATTTTCTCTATGGCTGCAGCAGCTGTCAGAGAGAGCACCTCAGTTCAGCTCTATTACGGGAGAGGCAGTACCCCATCCTATGGTTGGAGATGCTCTGAGGGGCCAGAGCTGATTGACAGCTTGTCACCGTGACGTCTTATTCCATCTCTGTTATGGAGAAAATTAATGTCACACCACCAGCCTTATGACTCGCTGTCATCTTAGAGCCGCTCACCTTTTATCAATGCTCTAAATAACATTTCAAGCCCATCGTCTCAACGGTGGACAATCCGGTCAAGGGACATTAAATCAGATGACTGTGAAATGTCATAATAAAAACGGAATGCTAACAACTTCTTCTCTAAACTAGCTCCTCTGGTTTTTAAACTGTGACAAGGGGGAGCAAGGGTTCAGCACACCCACTCTAAAAAGGTCACACAATTGCTCTTGGCCTACTACCCATTACCACCCGCCCCCATTGACCTTCCCTCCTGCCCTCCCCACCAAAAAAGAAGAAAAAAATGAAAAATGGAATTAGCCGTCTTTTCCAGGATGTGGTGATCAAATAATAGCTCACACAGTAATGTCTGTTTAATTCGCAGGGCTTCAATGCGTGGCGATGAACAGCTGGAGGACGGCAGTGATGAGTTTTCTCAGGGCTGTTGCCTCTCGGGGTGGGGGCAATTCGTGTCCTTTCCTGATCACAACCAGTGCCCGCTCACGTTCAGTTCAACAGCAACTTTTTTTTTTTTTTTTTTTTGCAAACACACACACATTCTTCCGGGAAAACACAGAAGTAATTCTCCAAATGCATCATCTCGTTTGTATGTTTCTTCAAAACAGGTGATATTTCAGACACGAAATGGTATTCATTCATAATACCCACAATAGAGAGGTTGCGCACAGAAGCCCTAAAATCTAAGTCTTCGCCCTTGCATTGTTGTAATTGTAACACACGTGCAGTACTCTGTCTAGAAGCTTCTAAGCATGGCCATCTACAGAGGGAGGTACTGGCCTGGCCTCTAATTCCGGGGTGAAAATGAGGGAATTTCAACACTTTTGAACATGTTGAGTAGATACATGGTTTGAGAATTAGCTGGGACAGCCACATCCTATTGAACGTCTTAGTGAAATAACATCTCAAAGAAGGCATGGGAACGAGTAGTCAGTTCTGAATGGGAAAGGCCTCTTGAAGGAAGTCCATCAGCAGAAAGAAAAAAAAAATAAATCAATGATAGGTGGATGACTTCTAATTACCTGGGCAGCAGGATCATTTTAGTACACGGGATGACTTCAGGATGCTAATCCATCATTGCCACTATGATAATACCTCGAAGAATTCTTATGCGTATATACCAATTAGAATCTAAAATCATTTCAATTCCTGAGGTTCACGTCTGGTGATAGGAGAAGACATTCTGGTGGGTACCCAAATGTGAAATTGTTTTCACAGTTGCAATTATTTTTAGGAGATGTCACATAATACCTTAGGTTCTTAGGTGCTTTAAAAAATATATACTATTTAGCCTCACTAAGTCACCTCTATTAAACTGTTTATGATAATGCCATTGGTGGGTGCATTGTACAAGCATTAGCAGACAGCTGATTCAGTGGAGATAGCCAGAATAAATTTGCTGAAGCGTACATCCTGCTAATCTGTTTGAAGAATATTGTACGGCATTAGTACCAGCACTTCATGTTATCTGCACAGCCTGATAAGGTACATCTTTATTAAATTCAGTTATTGGAAGGATGTCAGTCAGCAAATAGGAATATTTTAAAATCCTAAAAAAAAAAAAAAATGAGCCATGCTTTGTTAGTCAGAGCTTGGTTTCATGGCAGAGTGTCTAGAGGGACCGTCTAAACACCTGGCAGCATTGTACAATACAAGCTTTGTAATTTTAAGTGGAAAAGCTTTTTTTTCCCAGCTTCCTGAGTTCTGAGGCATTTTCCCTTCTCGAGCACTGCGGAGAGAGAACAGTAGAGTAAGAGCTCCCCTCTCTGTTGATTCGGCAGAACTGCATGGTGGGAAACCGAAGATTTGGTTGTGCCTATTTGCGTTTGGCTGTTTTAGTGACTCACTGTCACTGTCACCCCACATTCCAGCACAAGAAATGAAGCCCTTTATCATTTTATTTCACACTCAATTAAAAAAAAAAAAACAAGGGAAGGAAGTGACGCTTTTCTAAGCAGTTGAAAATTAAAATCTATCCTGCGACTCCTCTCCAGGAACCAAGCTTACTAAGTGACATAAAGGCCACAGACTCCACACTTGCAAAGACAAAGCCAAGTCCATGACAACGCCAAAGAGTGAGGGAACTGCTCTTAACGTTGTGTAAACTTGGCTTGGCTTGGTGGGAAGGCTTCCTGTGGGATAAAAACACTGTGCAGAATCTCAGCTCTCCAGACCTCGCTCCGGGAGCGATTCTTTCTGGAGAACAAGTCTCCAGCCCCGGCTGGTTAGCAAGTGCTCCCACTAGGCTCTGTGTGGCATGTGCCTGGGCCCTGCTCTCTGCCTCTGCTGTTGCTCCTTTTCCCACCAGACAGCCCCTCAGAAATCCTTCTGGCCCCCAGGGTATCCTGTTCCCAGCCTCATGCAGCCACACAAGACGGCAGAAGGTACGTACATATCTCTTTAATATCTCCTCCCGTTCCTTCTGGTCCTCCACGGAGTTGATGGAGAGGTCAGAGATGCTGACCGTGGCCGAGGCTGTCAGAGTGACCAGCAGCACCAGGTGTCCCTCACCTTCTTCCAGCTGCAACTCCAACTTGTGCGTCTGCTCCCTACTGAGGGCTGACAGGTCCACCTGGCACCTGGAAACAAATGTTCTCAATCAGCAAGGTGGCTTTTCCCCACCAGGGGCCACATCGGACAGCCGAAGTGCGGGCTATTCAGAGCCATGTGAAAACCCAGTCACCAGAAATGCCGCCCGGAGTACTGGAGGGAGAGGTCTTTCATGTCGGCTGACTTTCTTCACCCAGACCCAGATTATTTTAGGGCCTGTACCTGCTTATATCCTGTAAGATATGCACAAAAAGATCATGCTTGTCTGAAATGGGATTAGTAGCTAGTCACCATCGTTGGAAAGTGTGGTGGGTGGGTGGGGTTTCCTATCCCTGGGTGGCCTGGGGGACTAATGGAGCTGTTGGCTTACAGAAGGAGCTGCCTACAGAGGCGGGCGACCAAGAATCTTAACTCTTGTGTCACTTTAAAAACAATGGTTGGGGGCTGGTGCTGTGGTGTAGCAGGTAAAGCCGCCGCCTGCAGTTCCAGCATCCCATATGGGTGCCAGTTCAAGTCCCAACGGCTCCACTTCCAATCCAGCTCTCTGCTATGGACTGGGAAAACAGTAGAAGATGGCCAAGTCCTTGAGCCCCTGCACCTGTGTGGGAGACCCAGAAGAAGCTCCAGGCTCCTGGCTTCCAAATGGTGCAGCTCTGGCTGTTGAGGCCAATTGGGGAGAGAACCAGTGGATGGGAGACCTCTCTCTCTGCCTCTCCTCTCTCTGTATAACTCTTACTTTCAAATAAATAAAGAAATCTTAAAAAAAAAAAAAAAAGACGATGGTCGTTTCTCCGTTAAAACTAAATGTCATCAGGCAGTGAATAGAGTATGTACTATAGTGATGCCGAAAGCTTTACAATTTTAAAACCATGCCAGTTTATTAATAGTATGCTGCATAAATCTAACCAGGAACATAAACCTGCCCGAAAGCATTGCAGCTCGTCTGGGATGCAGCACAGACCTCCTAACCGCGGGATCAGAACCGGTCTGTCCATGCTCCTGATGCCGCACTCCCAGATTTCAATACCTTGCAGGTGCATTCATAAAAACCTCCATGGAATCTGAAGTGACTGCATATGTGGTGACCACAGGATTTGACAGCTGAGAAGAAGGTGGCAGACATGAGCAAAAGGCATTTAAGACAGGAAACAGGCCACCACAAGGGTGAACATTTCTGTCGGGTGCCCAGCTATTACGGACACGCAAAATTCTTGCTCCTCCTTTGTCCTCACTCTGTCCATTTACTGTGGGTTGTTTTGCTTTGAAACCCCTATCAACGGGGTCTCAGAGCTTGTGGTTAGGTTCAAACAACTCTGCAGCATGATGAAATCCAACACTGACCTTTAGCTTTGCCTGTAGGTTACTGTGAGAGATGGTTGGGACTAGACGCAAATGCAAAGAAATGGCCCAGTCGCTGGCAGCGAGTCTATGTGTGCGAAGTGGGCTATGGTTGAGAAAGCGAGAAATCAGTTTGCACCAAGGCTGGAATTGCCAACCTCAGGTTAGAATGTTCCTCAAACAACCTCAGCCTCTGCTCTTAGAAAATCTATTTCATGACGTTCCCAGGCTGTCTCCTTAAACTCTAAAGGGTGAAAAAAAAAAAAAAAAACAACACCCTATCAAATGCTTTATCTGATGTTCACAAAATTTATTAATAAAAATATTGTACTTTGAAAAAATAACACTTTTAGTTGGACATATTTTTGGGGTATCCTGTGATGTTTCAACACATGCATGCATCATGTAACGTCCAATCAGGGTAAAGACATCTAGCTCCTCAAACTTGGAACATTTTATGGTGAAAGCATTCCAAATCCTACCTCCTAGTTTTTAAATAGACAAATACATAGCACATTCACATATCTGTAGTCATTCCACGGTGCAGTACAATATTCTACTACTCTTAATATTCTACCAGCCTGATTTGAATCAGAACTGCTTATCAACAACCCCTGAAACAGACAGAGGGCTAAAAAATGTAACAGTGAAAAATCCCCGTTCACAAGTATTGGCTAATAAAAACAAAGACCTATGGACCTGACTTTCTAGAGAGCTGTCCAGCACCTGACAGGGTGTCTGGCTGTGGTCAGCCGGATGTGAAAGAATCTTTGCTTCGAATCAGGAAGGAGCAGGGCACGAGCGAACTGAACAGGGCTTGGAATTCAGACTACTGCTGGCTGAACACAGCTGGAACCTAGAAGGACCCTACACTCACTCTGTTCTTTCTTCCTAGGTATCCTCCGTGCCTCTTCCTCTACGTGATACCGCATCACTCTTAAGATCAAGCCTACTCGAGGCTTCCCTTCTCTGCTTATTGCCACTTTGCACTGGTCTTACAGATGCTGGCCAACTCTTCATCTGTGTCAGAGTCATTGCATTTCTTGCTTTAGAGCTGGGCAGGGTGTGCTAACGATTATGTGGTCCAAGAATTACAAACTGGCCATTTTCAGATGGTATCTGATCCACCCCTGTGGTGTTTTTTGCTTGTAGGGCTATAAAAGTTCTGAATCTAAATAATTTTCAAAATACAGCAACTATTCTCTAAGTTAGTTACTGTCCCCCAAATTGCCTATTCTTTATAGGTGACATTTTTAATTTAATCACTCTGATTCCAATAGTCACAAGGATTTGTGAGCCCTGAAATCTTAATTTATCAGCAAAAACACGGAGAAAGCTATGAGATGTAATGGAAACACACAGCTGGTTATCAGCAGAACCAGGGCTCGAACCTGGGACTGTGGAATCTGATTTTGGGTCCCCCACCTGCCTAGAATGGTCAGCAGCTGACCAAATGTACGTCTCGGGAGGAAATGTGTGCAGTCAGTGGCAGTTCTCAAACTGGACAGCGCCCTGTTTTTAACAGAAAAAAGTCAGTTTCCAAATATGTATTCATGTTATTTTTCATGATTTTTAGATTTATAAAAACTAGGGAAGAAGGCTATAGGCTATTGCTCTTGTAAGAACACCAAGAAAAATTTGCAAATTGCATTTTTTAAAATGATGACACTAATACAATCTAAGCTATAAATTTATGGAGAAGATCTGTTCTTCTGATGGTAAGTAAAATTTTCAGTTCTGGGTGTACTCATAGAAAGCATTAATGTCAAGTTCTCTCTCGTACACAAATGTACTGGACAGGAATGCAGTAACTGACTTCAAGGTTCTTTGTGCCAGTTGAGGTTATTCAGACCTTGTATTAGGGTAAAGATTCTGTTTAGGAGTAAGCTGCCATTTTAAATGAAGTGTGGCCTATAACTAAACAAAGTTGTCTTGTTAACTTGAGGATAAAGTTCACATTATCGCATCACTAATGGGTATTACATCAAATTATTGCTGGAATTAAAGGAAGAAAAAGTATCTGCCACCCTCTAGTAGCTTCGGACCAATATCTGCAAAGATGGAACTCGTGTGGTGCAGTGTGTTGCAAAGTGAAGACAGTTTCACCTGCTATGGGGCAGGCAGGCTCTTCTGTATCAGGCTCACCTACCCCACCATGTCCACACAAAGGAAGGACTCACTTTGGCGTCAATATCAAAACACTAAGTGGTATCCCACTGGCCCAGTGTAGGCTCGCATTAGTAGTCTTCTATTGCTACCAAAGTGAAAATGCAAAAGTTAAAAAGCAGTGATGCAAATTCATGAACTCCAAAAAAATGTTCACAGATACACACACAGAGAAAAGAGGGCATGATCAGGAAACCAATTCCCTTGGTTCTAGCCCTCCATTTTTCACTAATTAGTTGTATGACCTTTCTCAAGGCAACGTATTCTCCTCAACTACAGTTTTCTCATTTGCAATTATGAATTAATTGAAATAAACTGTAAACTTTCAAAAAGCCCAGATTCCAAAATTTGACATAACTCTGGTCATGTTTACACTTGCTTCTTACTTTATTGGCAATTCTCCAAGCCAAAAAAAAAAAAATCAAGAAGTCAAAATTATCTTACAGGGAGTAAAGTATTATTACTCAGATGTATCACCAAAAGAAGTTCCTACTGTTAATACAATAAGGAATTTAAGTTCAAATTGTATTGCAAGGTGGGCCTCAAAGGTCACCAAGGGAGCGAAGGTGAGAAAAGGGGCCGTGAACTCTCTTCCTTGATTCAAAAGTAGGTCTCTTTGCATCCGTTTTATATTGGGGGTTGCACACATGTGGTTTGGAAATTTACCTGAGAAATCTTGGGCAGCTCCCTAGATTCTGCTGGACCCATGGTCTCAGGGGCCCTCAGCTGCTATTTTGGTTGTGTCACTCCAAAAAGATGTTGTTCATCCTACATCGTGACCAAATGATTTTGCTTGGGGCTGCTGGAGTCTTCTACTATGACTGGCCCATTCTTCACTTGCCCAGATGGGCTGGGCACTCTCCTTGACTACTTCTGAGTTGTGCACGCAAGACCAGCTGCCTCAAGCTTGGAGCTTCTGGCTGCCAAGGGCACCTCTGCAAAGTCCCACCATGGGGATGGGGCCTGGCACCCAGACCAACAGCCACAGCAGCTGGACGAAAGGGCACAGCAGCTGTTTCCTGGTGGGGTGAGCTTTGATCCAGGGAAAGGGGATGGGAAGGTAATTTCTACAGTTCTTCCCAAAGACTGCTCCAAAACATCATTCTCTGTACCTCCTGTCCACACATGCAAAGTGGGTGCACCTGCTAAGCAGCCACTGTGTCACTGAAGCAAGGAAAATGCAAGCAACCTAGTAACCTATTCCCTTTACTGCCTCCTGGTCTTCCCTGCCTCATGTTCTTTGTCTCTCATTCTCACTGCCTGGGATTGTCCCTCCTAATGAAGCACAAATGTTTAAACACTGCCTCAAATTCTGTTTCCTAGAGAACCTGTGCTAAGGCAAAAACTACCGTTACAGTTCAATCCTCTCACTTATGGATATCTGAAACATAAACCTAACCATGTCCTGCCCCTGGCTTCCCTCTACCTCTGAAATATCCTTAAGAAGTCAACAGTGGCTCCACAACCTACCACCAGGTTGTGTCACTTGCTCATGCACACTTACTACTTGTCATCTGAGACAGCT